CCGTGCCCGCCCCCGGGGACCGAACCAAAGGGTCCTGCGGCAGAGCCCCGCCGGACAGCTCAATTATCAGGGTATTTCCTGGCCACGCTGGGCCTTCAGCTTTTACTGACCCCACCGCAGCTGTGGAAACGCCACACCGGAAAAACGGCCCTTGCTACCGGCCGCTCACCTACCGCCCTTCTGTGCACCATCCCGGCCCGCGGCAGCAGCAGCCCAGCACTGAGGAGGAGACACAGGGCACATGCCCAGCCCCAGAGGGCTGAGGGTACGAAGAGGGGTATCGGGGGAACAGGAGGGTGACACGCATGGAAGCAGGACGGCAGCTCTTCATCTCTATCCCTTTAAGCATGGGCAAGAGCAGCGTGACCCTACACTGGGGACTGCGGCACAGGAGCGTTTGAGCACACAAGGCAACATCCTACTTCAAAATCTACGGCAAGGAGGAGAGGGCTGGACTGGTCTTTCAAAGCAGAAAGGGAAGCAGTCTGCTTGGTGCTGCAGAGGAACAGCCAAATTAAACCCCAGTAACAACGAGCTTACATTGCCTTCTGGGGACAAACCTGGGTCTCTCCTACCGCAGAGACCTCTGCTAGCCAGCCACTTGCTTTGCTTGAGCTGGAGTAGGTTCAAGGAAAACCTGACTGAAGGTCTGAAAAGCTGAACCAGGTCCCAGAAAGGAGCAAGTGCTTGTGCAGCAATGGTTACACAAGCACACCCATGTGTTGGCTGCCTTGCGCAGCCACTGACCCTACCTAACCCGTCTGCAGCCGCCACCCCGGGCGATGGAGGCAGGAGCATCCACTGCTGCATTATGCTCCCTTAAAGGAAAAGAGTCTGGGGCAACATCAGAGCCCAATCCCTTTTCCCTGGCCCACATGTGTTGTACAGAGACAAGCCTGTCAAAACCTCATGAAATAGGCTTTAAGAAAACAGTCACCTATGTGCCACACATTACTCATTTTAAACATTTACTGGGCCAGGAGAAAAGTTTTCACCTTGTAACTTCCCTGCTTGGTTTGTGTGTTATCCTGTTCTCCACACTGCACAGCTTCTGAACCATCACCAGTGAGTGCACCCATGCAGCAGGTGGACAAACTCTTGTGAAATGACCTTAGGAAAAAGCTGCTTTTCATACCCCTGGCCCATCCCTTTGATTATTAGCTGTCACTCTAAGCAGGAAGCTACGTGCTTTAGGTATCTCAGTATTTATCTTCCCAAGCTTAATTTTATGGATGTACAGCTGCCAACACCAAAACCAGACACAAGTCTCTGACAGCTGATCCCAAGGGCATTAAACACTTACAGTGTGATGTAATGCACATTGCTGAACCACTTCTGGTTCTGGACCATACACAAAATACACATTTATTTACATTCACTTCTCAATTTTTATTCTATTTCTCGCATGGTCTTCAAATACAGTTTTACAGGTCTTTTTCTGCTACAGATACTGTTGATCTAAAACAGATTAATGAAAGTGGCATTCCAACCTTAATGAAAATTCATAACCATGAAAGATATGTCAACATATCACTTTACAATCCTAGAATGATGGTATTGGCCTGACATTCCATAGGCTTAGACAATTAACTTCTATAATAATAACAAATTCATAGGAAGAGAAAATGTGGCAACTCCTTAAAAGCCAAGAAATAAGGCCACAAGCATCCTATGCTGTAATGTTATGCATCCAGATGAAGTAAGTTGAGTCTGGTATCCATGAAGAAACAAAACTCTCCCACCTGGTAAATCAAGGTTATCAGCTACTCAACATGCACTCAAAGCTGTATAAAAACTAGTGGCATTCAGCTTGGACTTAATGAAATCCCACAGCACAACCCCATACCTCTCTCTAAAAATGAAATGAACTTGTTTCAACTTAAATACTTCACTACCGCATTAAAAATCATTCACATTCTGCAGAAAAAAAAAAAAAAAAAAAAAAAAAAAACATCTTGCACATGACTGCACCAGAAGGCCAAACACAGCATCTCCTTACAAGTTGCAGAGAGCATTACTGCAATCTTAATGCCATTCATTACAGGTTGCAAATCAACTTCTATGCAGCTGGAGGCTTGTAAGAGCAACCAAGCTTCCTTTGTGCACCACTGAAAAAACCCCAGGAAAATTTAAACGTAAGATATAGACAGCTTATGGCAGCAGGTGGAAGAAACAAAGTACTGCAAAGTGCATACCACTGTCCAATCACCTGTCTGGGACACTGGGACTACTGCAAAATACCATTCCCATTAAAAGATCCAACTACCTGAATACCAGGTCCCATACGACACCAGTTCCAGCCCATCACCAAGCATGTCCATCCTGGGTAAAAACATCAAACTCTTGGAACATTTAAAAGTAGATAACCATTTAAATAATGTGTAAAAATGTGCTTATTGTGGCATTTCTTATAGAAAAGTTATTTGATACAAATGTGCAGGACTTGAAGACCCTGATTTAATCAAACTAGTACGAACAGGCTTTGAAACATGGTGACTCTTTCAAGGACAAATCCCAGCTGTGGGCCAGCTCTCTCTCCCTCTCACCATCTTTCATCCATAATCCCATGTGAACGTTACCAAAATTAACGGGTTCAGCAAAGCATCCTGTGAATTGCTGTTTCAGTCCCAGGAGAATGATACCCTCGAGCAGTGACAAACTGCAATCTGAAGGAAGGGTCATTGGGATCTGCTCCCCTCTCCCAAGATGGTCAGTACCTAGCCCTGGATATGAGGCACAGTAAGAAAGGTCAGTGCTGAGGACAGACTTGTTCTCGATTGTGGTTTTCGGTTTTTCAAAAGTGCCGTCTTGGACCTATACCATTTCACTTTTCAAAAGAAAAAGTTACAAAAACCAGTAAACAAAAAGTTAGTCAGCATACATCTAGGTTTATATACACTGAGATTTACAAGTTTGTCATTGAGTGACTTCTGCCACAGACCACTGCACATTTGTCCCTAACAAAACAAAAAGCTTGAACCAATGGTCATTAGAAGAGACAACGGGTCATTGCTTTATCAGCAAGCATAAAGGTAATAAAAAATAGAACTGTAACTACTTATCTTTAAAAATGCTGATTGACACAAGCAACCCCTCCATTTCTGCAACTTGCAGACTGCAACTTGCACATCCTGCTCTATGACAGAGAACAAAACCTGAACCTTTATAGGCATTCTGCCAGAGACCAATTTTCTGTTGACACTTGAACGCAGAGAACTGTCATCAACCACAGCACCGACTGAGAGGGATTCCTCTGAGAAGCTATAGCCCATGCAAGATTCCTTGGCACTTCACACAGGACCAGGAGAGGACAGGGTTTCTCTTTGTTTAACAATGTTTTCAGCA